TTGACCTTACTCCATCAAAAAAGATGTCACGAATGACGTATTTATTACATGGTGGCAACAAGTTTAATCCAAATTTGGGTCAGAATAAGTTTAATGTGCTCCACTGATATATAACAATTGATTGATTACGTTTGTGAAAAAATAATAGAAATAGGTTGATGAGAAAATGCGAAATTAACATACAGCTCGAATCTATTCGTACAATAACTGATAAAAAAAAAAATGGGGGAAAAATCTTTCTGGCCATCAAGACGGACCCTGCTTTTATATTCGTTCCACTTAACATCTAAAAACGAGCCCTCTGTTTTTAGATGGCAAAAATGACAATAGAAAGGCAACTGCCACGTGCTCATTCCCTACTCCATTTTAACCTCAAAAAAGAAACACATGCTGTTCTTCCCCGATACCATTAATAGATGGTTATGTGTAATATATCAGACTCTACAAGTCAGTTTAGCGGGAGAAATCTAGTCGCACAATTCAAGAAATTTTTATGTGTTTTCTAGACCTAGGGCGTGTACTTATTTACCTAAACAGATTGCTTTTTTAAGGACACTAAGCACAACTATAATATTAAAGTAATGAAGAAAGCAAACAATAATAACCTTCACTACTCGTTGTTTAAAAATATTCAACCTGTTTTCGTTTCAGGTTTATTAACAATGACGAAAAAAAAAAGATCTAACATTAAACTGGGGGGAAAAAAAGGCATTCTAGTTTGACAAGTTAAGCAAATAATTTATTTTCGAAGCAATTAAAGGTGAGATTGGTTGTTCATTCGATCATCCGGGGCTATAACTTCTTAATAAGGTGTGTCATCTTTTAACCTTTGTTTCATTGCCCTTTTATCATTCACGTGAGAAGAAAACTGTTCACAGACAGTCTTCTCACGTGACGAATTTTAGTGTTTTTCTAAAGACGGTTAACAATTTTTTAAACATTAGTGCATCATTTAAAACATCTCTTTCTCTCGACACGTTTAAAAACAAGTAAAAGCTTTTTTCCCATACATAAAAAAAAGGTTATATCTGAATATTTATGAAAGAAAGATAAGATGATGATATCAGAACTAAGTCGAGATATTGTTGTTAATTATTGCTATATTTTTCTAAATAAAAGAAAGAGAGAAAGATAAGTGCGCTTAAACAAGCGTAAATGCCCCGATTTAAAAACACTCCCCCCGAAGAGAATCACGTGATTTGGCATCATCCGTGATTAAACAACAACTAGTCAGACTCATCATCTGCTTATGGAAGTGCAGCTGATCGTGTCAAATATCATTACTGTTACCGATCATTAATACTTATCTTTCTAAACAAGCTACTCTTCGTGACTGTAATTGCTACACACGTGACGTTATCCAGCTTATGATAAATGAGTGACATATTGTTTTCGTGTGTCATTTTGCTCGACGACATCAAACCCACCCAAACAAAGCTGAATTCGTGATTTATTCTTCATGCATTTGGGAGTTTGTAATTGTAGACGAAATTTAATATTATTGGTTATAGTGAAGTAGTGTGCATCCCCACCCTTGTGGTACACACCTATTGAGGAAGGTGCGATAATATTAAAACACAATGATTTTTGACTGAGTTATATATGTCCTATGACTCACTGAATTTTCGAGGGCGTAAAAATTTGACCCCCGAATTTAAAAGACTCTCTACCCCCTTTTGACCCTTGATTTATGTCGGATGGCAACTAACGGTTCGATTCTAATATTTGTTTTTTTTTTTTTTTTTAATTAACCAGCGCCCTTCTTTGTAAAATATAGTTTTACGTAAAAGCATAAGTGATAGAAGATTTTTATTAATTATGTAACAGAGCACTTTTATTGGGTCACCATGCTGTACGTTCACCTGTACAATTCCGTTCTGGGGAGTTGGATATCCACGTGTTGGATGACAGGCACTCTAGTGCTTCCCTGCAGAGCAAAAAAGTCAAAAGGGGAAACCGATCTCCAGGGTTCACTTTACATAGTAACCCGTGGCTACAAACTTTGTTATCGATTGCGGTTGGGTACGATACAGATTTCCGAGACGTCGAGTAGACGCAAAATGAAACTAGTTAACGACTGTGTTATATTATAGGAAGCTACAACGTTTATATGTGATGTCACTATAATTTATTGTAACAATGACATCATGCCGATATAAATTTCTATTACGTTAGCTCCTTATAAGGAAATTTGATTATGAAACTCGACTCTGTAATGGTCACACCATCTGCTAATCTTCATATTTTGCTGTGGTCCCCGTACGAGGGTGTTGCGCAGGTGTACACTCCATACAGGTGAGGGAAAACAGACGTTTTTAAGGCTTCACCGCCTAGCCTTCAGGCCATGTGTAGTATATCCCCCAAGTTTTAACAAGTTCTTGTGGTTTAGTCATGCGATACTTGATATGATCAAATTTTTTCTCGGATGATTTAATCTTGTTTTCGGAATCAGAAAACGTCCTCGTCTTCTCTAAAGACAGTCCGAGAGCTCTTCTCGCTTCGCTGCTTACACTTCCTGATAATGCTAAGAAACCGAAGGGCACAAATACGAAACAGGTCTGAGATTTTCTTTGATTTAAATGAATATTTATGGGTCACTTTCGCGTTTCTAAATATAGAAATTTGCATCGTATTATAAAAAAACATCGAACTCGGAAAGTTTTTACACATTATAAGGCAAGTTCTGATAAGAAGTCTCATAGAAAAGTCCTATCAATAATTGATATAATGATAAAAATAAATTTTCGTTTATATAATTGATACAATTTAGTTACATATAGGAAAAGAAGTAATTTATAATAACGTCGTACGTTGCCTCCACTTCCATTTTTTCCAAGTTAAACAGTAATTCAATGAAATTTTAATAGGGTATAGTTTTTAAATAAGGTTAGGGAAGTCAGCAAACGACTCTTTTTTTAAGAACTATTATTAATTGCCAGGAAACAATGAGCTCGGAAGCCTTAATATCTTGTATATTAAATAGTGAAGTGCGTTGCCTCTTTATTTATAGGCCTAGTAACACCACTTTTGTTAGCATTATCTTCAAATTGCCCTACTTTTTAGCAATTCCCCAGGCTAATTCGAAGGTAGGGATGGCTTCTCGATATAGCATATAAATAGAATAATAGCGCACGAAGATTTAATGGGAAAAAGAATTTTTTTCTCTCTCTCTCATGATTAATTTAAATTCTGTTGTGTAAACAGGAAAGATTTCTATTAAATAAACGAAAATTAAAAGTTGCAATGAATCTAAATAGAGAAATTCTCACGACGATGTCGATCTGGAAGTCGAATCTGAACGGAAAGTCGAGGCAATTGTTTTACATGAAATTCGTAACAAACAATACGTACATTAACCTTCTTTTTACTTAAGTTGTGTAGATAGATAGCTCGTTAACGATCTGTAGTGCTTATTTTCCTCTAGAGAAGCCAGCTGACCGCTAATGGCAGGTGATCGACTAACAGCTGGTAAAACACCTTTAAAAGGGGCAGAAAATTGTACTTTTGTTTTGTTTCCCCAATTTAATTACAACAACGTTGTTCCCCAACACGGGTACAAAGGTCATTGCTAACTATATAGTACGTCAGTGGTTTGAGAGCCCATGAAATTGGGTGGATTTTACTTAGTACGTCCGGATTCAACCCGCTTTTTAAACGAAAATCATTTACAAATTATAATAAAATCGCTTCATTTTTTACTTCTGAGTCACCTTACACGAGTTAATCCTTTTAAAATCAAGAATAAGAATTAAATTAAACGTTTAACAAACAAAAAATAAGCTTTTGCCAGACAAAAAGATTTATATTTATATTTTTAGTGGCTCAAAATCCTAAAACTGAGGTAAAAAAAAAATGTATCAATACATTTTAAATTAATCAAAATCGAAAAATTAAAATTCAAAGAGGGTAATTTTCTTGATAATTCAAATTCATTTATTCTGATTTTTTTCTTTTTTCTTTCTTTATCTTTTCTCTTGAAGATACAATTATCATGCAATGCGTTTAATCATCAAAAATTTTAATTAAGAAAATAATTCGCATGTCTAAAGAATTCTAATGAATTCGAATGTTTTCTTATATATATAATGGGCATGCAAAACAGCAAAAATTAAATTATTTTAATTAGACGCCTAATTAGAGCCAAGAAACTTGGGCTATTATATCTTTTGACAAATTAGCTTCCTTAAACAAGATACGAACATAAATTCGTAAGAGCAGGAAGCTGTGACGTCACGTCATACCACGTGCTCCCTGTCAAGAGGGGTCACGGGAGACCACGTGGCTTCTCTGTCCTCCCATCCTCGATTTTCATCCAAATCCTCTTTTAAGTCCACTGAATGTGTAGAGCGTGTGGCGAAACACGTGTGCGCGTTAGAAAGATCGTAGTACAGGAATTCCGTTTTAATCTAAATCATTCCGGATTAGAAGAGCGAGAAATTTGATAAAACAAATAAATAAAAATTGAAAATCTTTATCTAAAAATATCCTCGTTCAATCCGTATTCTTTTATTCTGTATTCGCTAATTGAATTAAACAATTTGAAATTACCAATGGGCACAGCCCCACTTTTACAAAGGAAGTGGCTAAAACTACCAAGAAAATCCGTTTAAACTCTTGGAAAATTAGCAAATGAATCGTCGATTATTTAAAAATAGCCAAAGAATTGCTTGGTTTTGCATGAACGCTGATTATATTTACATAATTTTTCGTATAATCGACAACGAAAAACTTAGTCATTCCACTTCCACATACAAGAAAACATCTTCATTACCTTCGTGCCCTACAGTAACATTTAGATGTAGAAACGTAACCGTTGATGAAATAAGACATTTTGTGTGTGATTCATAAATAAAAAAAAGGAGATGGTAATTCGAATAGAGCCGTAACAAATTCTAATTATCGTAGGATGTTAACGGATTACGAACGGAAAAGAAGTGACAATTAATAGTTTACAAGAGTTTTTTTGGAGCGTTTGTCTGTATCGACGAAGCCGTCTCCCCCTAGATTAATGAACGAAACTAATTGGCGAAACGCATAAATACGCCACCAATCTAAGCATCCGAGAGAAGATTTATCGTATTAAAGCGAGAGATAGAGAGTCGAAGGGCATTTTGCATTGTGTAGCGCCAACGTATCGAGTGGATAGTCCAAAGATATGAAGGAGCCGCGTGGACTCAACTGGTTTTTCGCCCAATATTAATTAAAATACCAGAACCGAGCCGGCTATTCGTTCAAAGTTCCGACTGCCGACGACGCATGCGTGGACGGGAGAGAGTCTGGTAATCGGCGACGTTCCCGCAGTCAGTCCTAGTGCCGTGTGTCGCGCCATGTGCTGCTCTTCTGCTCCATGGCAGGTGTAAGCGTTGTCCGAATCGAGAAGTTCTGCTCTCTACCGACATGACATTCGCCCATATTATCATCACCTCTATCGTGAACCATGCTTAAATTGGCCTTGGTCGTATGTCTCTTCACTTTCTTGGATGCGTCGGGATTTTTTGAACTTCAGATACTTGGCATCCAGAATATTCGGGGTAAATTAATGGATGGTTCTTGTTGTGGACGTACCCGAGATAAAGATGGTCAGTGTATCAGACAGTGTAATACTTACTTTAGGGTATGCCTTAAGGAATACAGGTCTCAGGCCATGGCCGAAGGTGATTGTACTTTTGGTAATAAGTCAACTGCTGTCATTTCTGGTAATTCGTTTTCGGTTCATACTGCTCCCGATAAAGAAGTCATTCTTAGACTGCCTTTCACCTTCAGATGGACGGTAAGTCGATGATTTTCTATCCTTTGACAATAAGTTAAAAAGTGACGGGCGACCGTTACTTCTAACCGAAATCGCGGCCGATTTTTAAAAATATGGCGATGAAAATCTTTTAAAATGGTAGAAAAATAGCAACACTTCAAATCCGAAAACGGCGTTTTAGTATCATCGAAACTGACATTAAATACAAGCGCCCCAGCTGGAGATATGATATCTAGAAGCTGGTTACTGAACCGCTCCGAATATGTAGTTTCCTATATAAGGTGGGAGATAATTTTCTCCAGGCTCCGTTTCTTCGTTCTATCACTTTTGTTTTTAAAAAAAAGTTTGCGGATGGAACTTAAAACTTCGCGGCGTTCGTTCTCATAGTTCTAAATGCAGAATGGAGCTCCTTAAATAAGTTTATTACTGTATATTGAGTGCGTTCAACGAGACTTGTTAGTGACATAATTATGGAGCCTATTAGTAAGTTCCATTGACTAATTATTTTCATCGTTCTCGAAGCCGCATGCGACATAAACTCGATTTTATTGCCTTCTATTTTTTTTTTTTTACCTAGTTTATGAGGTGCATTAAAACTCTCCTCGCCTTTAAAAAAACCGAGCTAAATTTTGATGTTGGACGGCTGCAAAGTTTGTTAAGAGGTCCAGAAACGGTTATGCAGCGTAGTCTGTTACCCAAGAGTCGCTGTGGATTAGGAGGGTAGATACTGACTTCTCGAGAGACGGGAGAGGAGAGCGTTACTAAAATTAGCTCGAGAGGTGACCCTTGTGACCGGACAGCTTGTCAATGGAGCTGTCACAGAAGTAGACGATTGACAACGAACAATTCCTGTTTCTTTTTTAGCCACGTGGACATCCTCTCTCGTCATTGGCTACTTGTCTTGCAATTTGCATGCCAGTCTCCTGGCAATATCATTACGTAAATCTCGAGCGAATCTAGTCCTTCCTGCACCTAATAATTTTTGCAGAAGTGGGTTATACGACTGTAATCTTTAGAATGTTTGTTTTCTTATATACCCGACTCTTGTTATAAATGGTCGAGATGAATCACAGTTGAAGCATTCGCTATCGAAAATAGATCGCGTGTTTACTATTATAATTCCGGTTGGACTATACGAATCACGTGATCGACAGACATTGCCTCGGAAAGCTGTTTCGCGCGGTACTAAAAATTGAAACCCTTTGTAAATACTTTAATGGCGGCCTGCACTTAATCGCAATCGTTAAGTGCATTGCAATTAAGTTAATTCGTCTAGTATCTCTCTCCCTTCTAGCCGGTTTTTAGTTTTGAAAAATAGTGAGAAGGATGGAGAAAACTTAGGTCCATTGAGGAAAAGTACTTGTTATATATTATGTAATCAGTCATGGTGCTACTTGTTGGGAGTCCATGCACCCGTATTCCTCCAGATCCTTGGGGCTTCTGCTGCACGTAACCATAAGGTCAGAAAAGTCCTGGGAGGTTTTAAAGACGACCAAAACTTTGTGGTGTATGCCGAGACCCAATACTTATCCGTATAAATGATGCCATCTAACCTTGACAGTCTCAACATAATTGGAGGTAATGGCGAAACTGCGTACTAACTATGATTAACATTCTGGCACACGGGTGCTCTCCTCCTTGGCAGGGAGCACCGCTACTAGTTCGTCAACCCTCTTCTACTAGCTGGCCTTGGACGGCGCTCTCAAACTGGTTATCCAACCTGTGACGTCACTGTTTCTAATAACAGTAGTGGACACCAAAAGACTGCCTCGACTACACCCCTAATTGCTTTCTTCCCTCCAGACCAGGCTTGGTTTCTCACAAGGTTTGGCTACCCCAGGGAGGTGTCCAGCACCACCTCACATCATCTTTGCTATCCAGTAGTCTCGGCTTCTGGACTGCAGTAGATGATAAACGAAGATGCAACACGCCGATTGCTTATATTTATGCTTGGAAAGCTTTATACTGCTTTAATTATTGGAAATGCTATCGTTTAAAGTTGACCTATTTACTGAAAGTATAAAAATTGTTCATAAAAAGCTTGTATTCTTTTTTCTTAACTTGAATTGGAGCACATCTGTTAATATTTTTGGCTTTTACAATTTCGTAAATTATTTAAAAACAATAAATTCAATACGTATAATGAATTTACTCACGCACAAAATAATCTATTAAGTTTCTTTTAAGTTGTACATATATCAAAACTAATTATAACTCTTTGCTTGTCACGAATGTTAATGCATTAAAATCATGTTTCTAGGTGAAAGTTTAACTTACATATACAATAGTTAATCCTGATTGCATGCACTTGATACAGTTGTTACGTAACCCGGTATCTCAAGTCCTATTTTCTTAGTTTATTTTAAAGGAAGTAATGCAATGTGATATTTTAGAGTAATCGAATAAGAACGTGCTTGATGATACATTTTGATGGATTATCTTGGTAATTCTACAGTGCTTGAATTCGTGTTTGCGTTGGTATGAAAAAAGGGAGGAGGAAAAAAAGAATTACACATGTTTAGTGAAAAAGATGAGGAAGAGAAAGAGTCTTGAGACACGGTCGCACGCCTCGAAGCTTTAATACCAGTGGTGCATGTCAGATCCACACCTGGTCGTTACGACCTGTAGAAGATTAACAGATCGAAAGGATATTACAGTAATTAAAAACCTTGACACTTCTTGTCTAAGTCGTCATCAGCTACTAATTGCTATTCTACGGTTGGATGATTGCTACACTTAAGCTTAAGGTGTTTGTCCCCGAATTGCGTGTAGGCAAGTGACAGCCCCGGGCACATTTTCATCCCCCAATAATTCTGTATTGTCAAAATGAGCTTGTTGTCAAATCGCTACTTCATTTTCGAATTAAGGACCACTTTTTGCTCTCCATTACGACACGCAAAGATGCGTCCGAAAAGAAAGGAAGAGGTCCGATAGAACCTATGCTGGTCTATCATCTCGTCGAGAGAAAGGAACACGTTTTGTTGAAAATATATCCCGCTCGGTAAATCGCCAGAGGCTGGCAAACCATCAAAAAGTTCGAGTACTTTATGCAAGACATCACAGTTCATTACCAATCCCATAATAGTGATCCGTTTATCGTTAATGCTATTTGTGGCTACTTTAATCCGATCGGCTGGGTTCAAAAAAGTGAATAAGTTTCATCGCGTTTAATTGAATGATAGCAAGTGTGGTATATACTGAAACCATCTGACACTTCCCAAAATCAAATTTCTGAGTGGGTGAGACATCCAGTATATTGAGTATCCTGCTCATTTTTTCATTTTTTCTTTCGTCTACCAACGCTTACATTTTACGTTTTATTCCAGAGCTACGCTGTAAATTTTTATTCTTAAATAAAATCTGTCACAGAAAGAAACGTTTTGAAATTTAGAACAGGATGGATTTTTTTTTATTTAAAAAGTGAGAAGCAATGGAAGTAAAGATAGCCTCTAGCTTCACAGGAGGTAGGCAGGTAGAACCAGGGTGGGGCCTTGAAAGTAATAAAACCTGGTCATGGACTGACCCTGTTTAAGTGTGAGAAATTACCCTGGCTATAGACTGACAAGACCTTGGCACCCTCCCTCTATATGAACAGGAAGGGGATCTGATCTAGAAAACTTTATTAAGTAGGTCAATAAATTTTAATTTTCTTCAGGAATTTTCTACCCGATTTCTAGCAGCCATTATAGATGAGATAATTTCGCTCTCTTAACGAATCCAGGAACCGAAAAAGTAACATGCTGCCAAACTACATTCCTAGCGTGACAGAAACGTGACGTGACATTTTGAAGATCTCGTCCTTGAGAAATTATGAGATTGGTGCCGTCGACCAAACATCAGCATTCTCCCGTGATCTGGTAATTTACAGACTGACGTTTTCCCAACTGGGTAACTTTACACTTTGGATATCTACTATAGAAAATTGGCCGACTACTTTAATGGAGTTGGGAGTAAGGGACAAAAGGGGATGCTGCCCTATTGGGCTTCTACTTAACACTTGCGCATTCTCTTTCCCTTTCCTATAATAGCACAGATGGCTGGCAGTTATTCCCTTCCCCCATCGGTTTTAATGTTTACATTTAATGAGCCATTGACAAGTTCTGTTGCCTTCCTCAGTCTATCTACATTTGGACTTGAAGTTTCTATTCTCGCGGGATTTGATAGAGTTTCTCTCTTCAATTCCAATTCAATGGAGTTTTTAATCCTAGTTAAAAAGAGTAGCCTCCGGGGAGAGTTTTACAGTCAGATTTGAAGTATTCTTACCAATATTCAATCATTTTATTATAAAATATAATAATAAAAAAAGTTTCTTTTCTTTCTGAAGAGCGGTATCGTATAAAACTCCGGCCAAATTGTTAATATCCTTTATTTTGATACTAAATATGTATAGTTAGTATGGATTATTGTAATTAATAGTAATTATAATGAGGGCGTCATTTTAGTCTATTATTTGTAATTGGTGGCTTGGTAAGAATTAGCTGAAACTATAAATATACTGCATTCTGCCTTGAAGTATCATTTGAAATTAATGGCTCCTAGAATTAGTTGAACATACATTTAGAGTGAATTAAATTAGAAATGGCCAAGTTGTCAGTTTCTGATGAATGAAAGGTGAAATTGCTATTTTCGTTCCGAGTAATTTATAGCTATTTTGTTACAAAAATTCCTCAAATGTCAATACATTAGTCGTTTATAGAGATTAGAAATTGTCATCTCATCGATTTGTAATCCTAAGTCGGTCTACGCGAGCAATAAACTTGGAAATTTACAACTTCCATAAAACAATATCTAATAAATTAGCATGTCTTCGGTGCCAAATATATTATCGCAGACAGATTAATAATATAAATATTCATTAGTTGGCATTTCTGTTAGTAAGTAATCGAATGTAAGAGACTTTATTCGAGTTCGAATCACATCTGGATAGAGATGCATGGGCGTACGTAATACGATCTACCAAATCAACAAAGCATCAAATAGAAAAACAATCTTTTTTATCTCAGCCAAGTCCATATACCAACCGCACGAAGCGCACGTTTTGGTTGACCCCGAGGATTTCTAAGAGGTCATCTTTTAAGTCTGGTTTGCATCAAACATTGCCTCCTTACGACTGCGTATCGTTTCTTCATTGTTGTCCAACCTTTAGCCTTCAAACATCGATACAATTGCAATCCGAGCATTCGGTAGAAGTAGCAGCTGTGTTTATGAACTTTTAAAGTAAATAAATTCACTTTCTATATGACGTAAACCAAAATTGCGTGTATCGCGACTTATCGGCGGAAACGAAAATTAATATAATGTTTCTGCTATTCCGCCTTTCTTGTCAACGACTCTCCTAAGGGACCGATATGATCATTTGTTATCCCTGGGAAAGCAGCACACATTGTGGCTTTTTTGAACTTGTCTCGGTGTAACTATAACCAGCAGCTGAGTCATTGAAGCTTGTCGATTGTTACTAAAAACCGTACTTTCCCCAGAGATTCGATCCATGTGAATCGAGTTTGCATTATTTTTTATTTCTCTTATTCCAGTCTAGCTATACAATTTAAACTTACATATGTTCGTAAACCCTACATTTTATTCCCGCTGTTAGCAAATTCAATATCAACCTGTTCGTGTTAAGTTATACATTTAAAAAAATATATATATATATTTTATATTACGTTATTGTGACGATAAATGTCACAAAATTTATCGCCTTTAAAAGATTTATTTGATATGATGAATAAAAAAACCTCCACGTTTTTTCTCTTTCCTGCATTTTTTCCCCTGCACTTGTCTCGAGTGGTTGGATACAAGTGGATGGACCAAGTCACCATATACAGTTAATAGCAAGACAATCAAATGAAAAGAGACAAATCCGATTATCTCGACAGGTGGTTCTTTTAATAATAATAATAAAAAATTAGAAGATTCCCATTTTTGTTGGTTTGTTGAAGTTTTTCTTCATTGCAAGAGTGCTTTTTATATAGATTCCTATTGAACACAGGCGTCTATGATTTTTATAAAGTGGTTTACCCACAGCGGGAGTTTAATCTCTTCCTTCTGATTCCACTGCAAAAAAATTATTTAATTATTATATTTTTTATGAACTCCTGCAGGGATGTGTTTAATCATAACACCTCTCTTTAGATAACATTGACCAAAGCATTAAAAAAATTATTCTTCCAGTCACTATCGAATGCTCTTTCGACACGTGAAAAGCAACCATGTGATATAAATATTCAATCATGCAACCACATTATTGTCGTACATTTTTTAATATATATTTCACTTGGATGGCTTTGCTCGACGATGCAAAAAATACTTTAAAATTAGTTTTTTGAAAGTTTTTATTGCATAAAAATTATTTATACGTGAACACATACTTCTATACTCGATCGAGGCATTATGAACTCTAAAAAGGACATGGTTAAGTTAAATAAAATTTAATCTTGGTCTATATATTTGTATGGTAATTGACTATTAACATTTCTATAGTATTTTTCCCATCGTTAATTCTTGGTGAGAATCATTGGCTTTTAACCTCAGCCTTCTTAAAATAGGTCAGTTGATTATCATGCATGCCTCGGTGTTGGAATACAAAATGGTAAACAATGTCTGCATACAGATGTCACTAGATTCTTCGGAACTGGTACTGGTGCCTCTAAGCAAGAAGGATTTATGTTAGGAAAAAGGCAAAGGAAGGACAGATCATAATTTAAGTATTTATTAAGGGTGGTTACAGAATAAACCATTGCCCTTGTATTGTTAGCTTGAAGTTTATTTTTGGGATTATTTAAGTTGTTCGAGACAAGAACTTCAAAGAGCTTTTCCGTTGATCTTCTAATTGAACCAATTACTCTGAAAAAAATGTTGGTGCTTCATTTAGTGATGGACGAGACAGCTAGCGTTAATTAGCCAGGATATCTCTAGTTAGATATAGAGTATGTATGGTATCTATATTGATGTGATGTGAAGGTCCGTCCCAAGAATTCCGGACCCTAGATTTTTATCTAAAATTTTCACCGAACGTGCTTCTGTTAAGAGGCTTAAAATTATTTCGCCAAGTATTTTAAACTTTAACATTTGTATTTTTTCATATTTATTAACATTACTTGCATCGTTTGAGATCATTTTCATTTCAGATTTAGGCGGATATTTGATATTAAATTTTTAAATAATTCTCATCTTTTCGAAAACATGTGACGATATAAAATTTCCAGAAAACATAACTTTGTTCAATTTTTAATTCGGTAAGAGATGATTTTACCATCACCAAATGGATCGTTGTAAAAAGTAAACATTCTCAGTACAGAGAGGAGAGGGGGGAACGAAAAAAAAACACGATTCGACCTGACAGGTTTACGATCTGGATCTCACTATTTGATGTCATCGCTACAAAACTCACCCTCGTCAATCATTACCATTCGATGAAGGAAAGAATTCACATAAATGTCGTCTTTCAGAAGCATCATATTATTTTTCCCTCCATTTTTTCACCCCAGTCAGAGAAAAATACGAGAAAGTAATTCCTTTAAGAACAATTCTATGATAAAAATTGAGACAATTAAAAACCGCAACAGATGTGTCGATGCATCGCTCCTATCCACTCTGTCAAAACACCTGTCGCGTACGACTTCTGTTTATACTCTTTAGTCCTTTCGACAATTCCCCGAAGCAAAAGCAAATAAATTTTCGATGATCTTTACCATCCCTAGCTTAATATATCACTGATTGGGTATGAGGATACTATTATTACTCTTTCATTGCAGATTATTTACGAGACGACAACGTTTAATAACAAATTTATAGTTGTTTCAATGAATAATAATTACTGCAAAGTTAATACTTTATTTATTAGTACCGTTTTAACATAGAAAATGAATATAAAAATGGATTCTATTCATTTAAATATTCATTTTCTATTATGTTAAACATTTCTTGTATAAGGAAGAATTATCAATATAATTCGTACTTCAATAAAAGCAAAGTTCAATAGTAAATTTTGATATAAACTTATATATAGCCTATATATATAATTAATTTTTTTGTTTTGCGCCAAACTTTACTGCTTTTAATTACCATAATAAATGTGCCCGCTGAGGAACCATGCTGAGCTCTGCATCGATTTAAATTCAATATAACACAAAGTTGTCAGCATAAAGAAATTTAAATGTTAAAACAAACATAATATAGCGTGATACAATTCAAAAATATTAAAGATATCTTCACGAGAATAAGACAATAAATAAACCGTAGTTTATTATCTGCCCTATATTAAAACAGATATTCTTTTTTATAACCTGACAGAACACATCTTCTTTCAAAACCTCGCTGCGATGTGAATGTAATCTTTAGATTTATGTCACGGAAACGAAGCCAGGTTCTAAAATTCTTTTCTGTCAGACAAAGGATCCTTTAGAACGAATTTACTATTCTCACAGACGAAGAACCGATCCCGGCGCCTTCCATTTCACCCACCCACTCATTTTTATTCGCTTATTTACAATTAGATCAACGTATTTGCATGGCGGGGGTAGAATTCCATCCCGTCTTAAATCTGAAATTCTTTCTACTGTGTGGCGATACAGTTACGCCAACCGAACTGCTTGGCTTTAGCTAGACCGTGGGAAAAACTAGTCAGGTTCGCGACCAGTCCGACAGGTGAGGTGAGGCCCCTGAGACGTGTCTACAGGTGTTGGGGTCCTATAAGGAATGGCACCCTTCTGTAGGTCACAGCAGTCCATACACCGCAGGTTCACTGTTGTGTGGTCTTTCACATACTATAGGTTATTATTTATTTTTTTTTTCTTGTTGTTGTTTAAAAAATTCCAGCTTCAACAAGGAAATGCTTCTTTTCATTCATTTTTTTTTCGCATTTTCTATTTTTAGTCGTGTACGTTTGTAAGTCGGGTATTGAAAACGAAGAGTGGTTTTTAATATTAAATTGTGACCCGACGGGGTGAATGTACGTACACCTTTGAGGACCAAGCACGTTTAACAAAACCGGTCAACTTCCGCCGTTTGAGGGCGCTGACATCATTTCGAATGAGATGACGCGGATTTTTTACCCCCCTTTTTTAAAATTCTTATTTGATGTTGTCAAAGCTTAAGATATGATCCTTTTACAGGATCAGTTTTCGATGATATTGACGATGAACGGTATGCGAGCGTCATTTGCTAACTGTCCACCCAGCTGTCCCGTTGTCACGCAAGTTGTCCAGTCAGGAAGTGAAGTGACATTCGATACTTGTGGGAACCCGCATCCTATGTTTCTATATTTGTCACTCCGCGCTATCCTTGGTCACTTGGTCGGGGCTTTCTTTGGGGTTATGCTTTCTTGTTCTTTCTTTAGTTCTCTCATGTTATTGGAATGCAAAACCAATGGAATGAGACAACGCTGCGCCATTTGTTTCTTATATAATGGTCAAACTATTCGAGTTTAAAGACGAAAAAAGAACCAAAATTATCCAGATATGTATGTATTAAATTAAATTAAGCGTTAAAAAAGCAGGCATTTACGTTCTCGAATGCAACTTTTTCCCCGTTGAAAATCGCTACCGCAACACGTTCAAAAATATTTATCGCGTCGTATCTGATGTAAAACGCGCAATTTAATTTAACGAAAACAAATATTTAATTATTAATATAAACGTGTGGAAATATTTTCTATTATGAATATTAAAATTTAATAATAATATTGAAAAATTTTATTTTCCCTAATGGAAATTTTCTGTTTTCTAGAGGTCGTTCACCCTCATTTTGGATGCGATGGATTACAATAATCGGACAAATTCACGTGAGTTGCATTTACTGAATATTTTATAATTTCGAAACATAACCGCCCGGAAATTAAAACAACGATTAATGACGAATGCGTTCTTAATTAACATTTTCATTAATTTCATTAAGCGACCGCCATTTTGTTTGTTTCTTTCGTGCGCCATCTGGTATCTGTTAGAATAACTACTTTTTTAATGGTGAAATATTCGGTAGCAATTCAAAAAAGACCACACACCGAAACATCCTCCGCGGGGAACAAACGAGAAATTATGGGAAAGAGGGGAAATTACGGTTTCTCCCGGAATTTACGAAGTTACCGTGGTTTCTACCCAATGTATTTTAAGAATGTGCCAGAATTTTTTAAAATACATTTTTATAAGTTTTTCGGCAATATTAAACTCCAAAGATTCGGGTCGCGTTGCGCAAGCGCCAAAGCGCAGAAAGGTATTTAAATCGGAAGTTATTAGCGAGGTTGCGGCCGACGTTTTCGTCGCGAAAACGTGTACGTCGGACGTTCAGCGCCGCCTTCCTGTAAGCCTAGAAGTTTGACAATGACGTTTGGAACGTCAGTCGAATCATGCTCGACGTATCAAACGCCATTGTCAAACTTCTAGGCTTATATGAAGGTGGCGCTGAACGTCCGACGTTCACGTTTTTACAGATGAAAACTTCGGCCGCAACTTCGCTAATAAGAGTAGCAGTGCCGGACTCTATTAACTGAAAATAGGTTACTTTATCTCTACCGAGTGGGAAAAACGGGTGGCGAGTTTAACAACAAAGCGTTATTATTTGTCTGCTTTTCCCCCTTCCTCTTTTTTAATCAACAGTTACGAAACTACTTTTGTGTTCGCACGATTGCAAGATATGTAACCGGACATATTCTGTCAACACTCGCAGCATTAGATATACGACGCTCCGATACGTGCTTAAAGTAAAGCCTCGATTCTTTCCATTCCCCATCCGAATGTATTTTTAGCTTCTTTTTGACCAGCTGTCACAACATCGCTAGGCAAGCGCTGCCACGTGACCTCGCGACCGTATTCATCCAGTGAGAGCCAACGCAGTTTTGTCATCGCGATTTCTAAAATTAATCTTCGTATATTTCGTTTTTAAGTGTGATATTTCGCTGCCCTTTACACTTTTTTTCCCTCCTCCTTCTCCCTTTAACTTTCCTTTTTGGTTTCAGTTACGAACGATGTTATCGAAAGACACGTCTACTCCGGTATAATAGTACCTGGTTCGGAATGGCACACACTATTACATCAAGGAACCGTGGCTAAAATCAGTTACAGGTTGAGGGTGATGTGCGATGCCAATTATTACAACGTCACCTGCATGAAGTTCTGTCGACCTTTGGACAACATCTTTGGCCATAACACGTGCAACAGTCAAGGGGAAAAAGTATGTCTTCCGGGATGGACCGGTGTCAATTGCGAGAAAGGTAAGTCGGTTGTTTTGGCGACGGCGACGACATTCGAATTAAACATAATTAAAAGATAAAAGTGGATTAAAATCATAAATTGCAAATTATTCTTCCTACAGCAATTTGTAAACCGGGTTGTCATCCCGTTCACGGATATTGCGAGAAGCCGGGAGAATGTCAGTGAGTGTCTGTTTTTTTTTTTACGATAATCATTATCCGAATTAGGATCAATTATAATTTTATTAAAATTACGAAAAATTTAAAAACGGCAATTATATTTGATGTAATTATTTAATTACGTAACCTGACCTTTACGAAAGTCGTCATCGGTTTCCGAAATGTTGTTTACAGGTAGTGTGAGAAAGTAATCCAAAGGCAATCAGCCGTGTTAAAAGATGTCTATGACACAAGCAAAAACCAGTTTGTGTATTTTGAAACAAAATCTCTTATATTAATTTTTCCAATGTTGCATCATACGAGGTGCGGTTACTTTAATAAGATAGCCAAAGAAAAACGTCAGCTTTTTTATTTTTCTTTTTTTTCCCCGTATAAAGAAACTATGAAACTAAAGACTGCGAATGTATAAGCGCTTCTTGTCACTGGCGCGCGTTTTTGCTTTGAAATGCTGAAGGTTCTGGGTTCGAGAACCGGATATCGCGTTTTTGTATTGTTTTCGCTGGTTTAATTAAACAGAAATATTTTTATTTAAATGAAATGTTAAGGTAAAAACTATGGAAAAAATTTCGCCGCGAGACTGTATAATTTATTGTAAATGCGTACATGTCCGGTGTTAAAGTTCACAAGTACTTCTTATCATAAAAAACATGTTAAAAGTTGGAGTTTTCGCATAGAGTATTGTTTGCGCATACCTGTTTGCCTGGGAACAAGTCCACATCAGGTGCAGTCACAATTTTTCTTTTTCTTTGTTTTTTTTCTTTTGGAATTTTCGGATAAATCATTCATTTACCGAATACCGGTTTGTGAATCCAGGTGTGATGTTAACGAAAAGAGAAATGGTCTTTTTGTACCTTTTTAAAATTGTTTCCTGGGGCGTTTTGCGGTAATGAGGTGAGGTCTAACAAGGACCCTCATCCGAGTAACACGGTGGGGTGCTCCGAATAAGAACAGTTCTCTAATTACCTTCTTTTTGTTGCATTAAGTAAACTGATATAGTAATGATGCTTCTATTATAAAACACCATTTGACATTTTTTTTTCATAAAGTCGTGTTACTGTCCACCAGCATTTCCTGTTTAGATACATTTTAATCATTTTCACCTTTAGAAATTTTTTCCATTTGTCAAACATTTTCTTAGGTAAGGAGAATTACTGAATTTACTGTTGGTAATTAATAAAAAAGCTTTCCTAATGTTAAGATCTGTTTTTGAAAATAAATCATCAGATTTTTCTAAATAGCAGTAAATAACTTCATATCAGATAAGTTGAAAAGATAGATTGCAATATATCTTCTTAATTAATCTCATTCAATGTAGAGATTTTTAAATCAGATAAACTGCTGCAATGCTTCACATTAGAAACTGGACAGATTGGTTCCTATTATATCTACACATTTTAAAATTAGAAAGAATGTAATATTATCTACACATTACATTTGCCTACTCTTTTATGTAAATAATGTGTAATTTTATCTTTTATGCATTTAATAATGATTAAGTATAGAATAATATAACATTATCTAGAATTTTACAATTTTACTTGAATTTTATTTAGATGTAGACCTGGTTGGAAATCAGAATTATGTGACCAATGTATGCCATATCCAGGTTGTAAACATGGCTATTGTAATGGTTCACCATGGCAGTGTATATGTGATATTAATTGGGGAGGAATCCTATGTGACCAAGGTTAATTTTTTTTCTTCCCTCTTTTTCATTTATATTTTTTTAGTTTGCAATAATTTTTAAAGTCTAATGGTTTTTGTTAGATTTAAATTATTGTGGAACTCGTGAGTTGTGCCAAAATGGTGGCACATGTGAAAATAATGCACCAGATGAATACATGTGTCGCTGTCCAGAAGGATTTTCTGGAGTTAATTGTGAAATAGGTAAGATATTTTAGTGCAATAAGTAAAACATAAATATGCATGAAATATAAAAAATAATAATTATATAATATTTTAGTTGACAATCCATGTGCTACTTCTCCATGCTGGAATGGTGGAATGTGTTCTGAAATAAATGGAACATTCAGTTGTACTTGTGCACCTGGTTGGATGGGTCCTATGTGTAAACAAAGTAAGTTTTTTATTAACTTGTTTTTAAATGTCATATTTACACTTAACTGTAATTATATTATATTTTTATTACATTAACTAAACTTCTATTGAAAAATATTAGTAAATATTATAATTATTAAATGGAATATAACCATATAAATATTTCTACAATAAAAGCACATGAAAATTATGATGTATTGGAACGATTTCAATCATTAAATGAAAGCATTTCAGAGATAAAAAAAATCCTAAAACTTTCTAATCAATACAATCTTGGAATGCATTTTTTACTGCTGACTAAACTAGATTGCAGGCCCAAGGGCTCAGGGAAGAACATTCTAAGTATTCTCATTGTATATAACTAATATACAGTTAGGGCATCTAGCTTTTATAGTCTGTTAAAAATGAATAAAATATGTTTATTATATAATATAAAATGAATTTTATATTATTATAAATAATACTTGTGTGAGATAATTGATTTTTTTAACAATAAAATTAATTAGTATGTTTTATAAAATAAAACAATGCAATATTGTAAAATATAATACATAGGAAAAAAAAGAAAAATATACTCTTTTTATATATCTTGATATGAGATTGCCAAGGACTCCTGGGAAATTTCCCAGTAACCTTGATAGTTGCTTCAATTCTGATTGTAAAGAATGATAGTACAAACTTAAAATTAATGTGGTAAATCATTCAGCAAGAATCTCAAGAAAATACTAAGAAAAATTAATTATTGCATTATAAACTATAAATAAAAATTAAATATGAATATAGTGTACATAATTTTATGAAAGTGATTGTGCCATTGTATGAAAAAAAATGCACTGCTGTATAAATGCTGTTTTCGATTTTAAAATGGGGTGTAGGAATTTTATGAGAGGAAATATACAATTTCACTATACAACTGTAATGATCAAGGTAAATTAAAAGCTTGATTATTAAGTGTTGACATAATAAATTTGCTAACATAAAAATATGATAATTTTATATTATAATTTTCATTGTAATACTTAATTAAATTTGATAATAATAATTCACATTTAGTCTTCTCCACAAGCTGATTTTAGCTGGTCAGCTGACCAGCTAAATATTTTTTCAACTAATTAAAAATATTATTTATTATTTAAGATAACAGGATTATGGACATGTGTGCTTTTTAATATTCTCATATGAACATTATTTCGTTATCATTAACTGAGTTTATAAAGAAATCTGTAGTAGCAACCTGTTAACATTGTAGGTGGACTAAAAATTTTTAATGTGGAGAGCACTGAATGTTGTTTACAATGTTTGATTGAATAAAATTTAATAGATTTTTAAAATAAAATTTTAAATTCTAATTTGCCTTCTAGATATTAATGAATGTGAATCCAATCCATGTGCTAATGGAGGAACATGTGGTGATTTGGTGAATGGTTATCATTGCCTTTGCAGAAGTGGTTGGGAAGGTGCAAGATGCCAGCTTGGTATGAATAAGTATAATTATATAATATAAATGATATGTCAATTATTAAACATTTATATTTATTATATAGATGCTGATGAATGTAAAGCTGAACCTTGTAAAAATGCACACTCCTGTCAAAATATTGTAGGAGATTATGTTTGTACTTGCCAGTCTGGCTGGACTGGAAAAAACTGTGATCAAAATATTAACGACTGTGTCGGACAGTGCCAAAATGGTGCAACATGTATTGATCTTGTAAATGATTATCACTGCGCATGCCTGCCTGGGTTCACAGGTCGAGACTGTCAAACCAATATTAATGAATGTGCTAGTGATCCATGTCTTAATGGTGGTGAATGTGTTGATAATATAGCAAGTTTTCATTGTATTTGTCCTGTTGGTTATAAAGGATTACGATGTGAGGTAAATTTTTTATTTTATATTCAAAGATAATTTCAATATACTTTACGTTCTGATTTTTTTACTAATATTGCACTTTTTTACAAAGTTTCCAGCATCATTAATGGATTTATTAAATTATTTCTAGATTGATAATGATTTGTGTAATCCAAATCCTTGTGAGAATGGAGCATCTTGTTTTAACATGCAGTGGGATTACTATTGCCATTGTCCTGAAGATTTCCAAGGAAAGAATTGTTCAGTGCCCAGACCAAAATGTCATTCTGTAAATTGTGAAAGTATGTAATTATAGTGATATTTTTTGAAATTTTTGTTACTTTAATTTTGCTATTTTACAAATATTTAATTAAAATAAATAAAAACAGATTTATCATCATAATTTATTCTTTCATTGTCAATAATCAACAATGTCTGGATAGTAATCATTGTTATAACAACAGTATGAAATAGGGCCCTATGGCTATTCCATTCTACTGAAATACTTTCTCCATGTAACTTCTATTCATGTTAACATTTTTTTTCCCATTGCTTCTTTGGTGCTTCGTCCAGACATTGTGGTTACTGCCGTGGCCAGAAGCAAGGTCTCCAGACTACCCTTGCAACTCAGCTTGCTCTATAATTATCAAAGATTATTGCTGTTAGCTTGACAACTGTGCCTCTGTGTTATATTCTATCCTCTTATGCCTAACATTTTCTGTACCGCTAATGGTTTTGTTAGACTTTCAATGTTGTTTTAGACAGAAAGAAAATTGGATGGCTTACATAAAAATAATTATAATTGTCTGTTATATTAATGACAAATGACCAAAATATTTTGATATTTTTTTTAGCTTCAGATAGTTGTTTAGTGCCAATACCTGAAAAGAATGGTAAAACTCGTCTGGCAGCATCCAATGTTTGTGGGGAACATGGAAAATGTATCAGTGAAATGTCTGGAAGATTCACTTGTGTATGTGATCCAGGATATACTGGAAGATATTGTCATGAAAGTGAGTTTCATATTCAATTTTCCTGGATATTTATTTTTATACTTTAATTAAATTTGTTCTGCTAAATTAGAAGAAAATGAACCTTTATTTTTTATGGAATTTTTATTTGCTTTTATTTTGTTAATAATAAAAATTAGCAAATTATTAGTGTTAAATTGTGAATAAGTTAAGGAAATGGTAGCTAAACAGAAGTCATATTTACTGTTCTTCTTAACTTCTGGGAAAAAGTACCCACATTATCAAAGAGAGCAATTGACCAAGAAGCAGCAACTTGTGTGCAGTCAGTTGACCTGTTGTCTGACCTATACTTGGGTGGAGATGGGGTGGTTGCTGTGGAATTTCCCCCAAGCAATATTTGGTGTCTGTCTTCCTAAGGTGATGAATGGTGAGGGATAGCAGTTTCTTTTCTTCAGGCTTGGCTACTGTTTCCACTTGTCTACCCATATTATGAACTACAGTTATTTTGTAAAGTAGAAAATTATATTTTTGTATTGAAAAGGAATGCTGTCATCAAAATTTGAAAATAAAAGCAAAAAAACTGTAGCAAGAAATACTTTTTATAATTGATCTGTATTTTTTTTTTATAATAATTTTTGTGATTAATATTTTATTTATTAATATAAGGTTCTTAAATCAAGACATTATATTTTACTTATAAGTTATTTCATAGTTACAAATTATATTTATGTGTAATTAAATATATTTATAATAAAAAAATTGTAAATTACAGTATATTTTAAAAATAATAATATAATATATTTTAACTTTTCCATTATTTGCTTAAAAATATGGCTACATTCTGTAACAAGGTTACTACTATTAATGTCATGTCTTGTTTCTAGAAGAAAATCAACATATATTTGTCTTTCTGTTAGAAAAATGTTTTTTGTTTGTAAATAAAAGATCAAAATGTCATTGAATAAATGACATTAGTGTATTGTTACCTTATGTGATTTTACTTTCTTTAAAAAAATAAGTTTATTTTTGGGTCAATAAATACATTAGTAAAAAAACGACACTTTTCCATCACTGCTGTCAACTTATAGTTGCAGGTTTGCAGGTGTCTTGGACACACCCATTCCGGATGTTGAAGCTATAACCTTGAAAAGTCATTCTATAATAGCATGTTAAAGGAGCATGATGCCTCCAGGTTATAAAGACATACCAAAGATAATTGATTACAAGATTATACATGGCATGTTATTGTTTCGATAATAGAGTTTCTATTGGATAACCTAAATCACTCAAAGCAGATATCAACCAATTTAAACTATGGAATTTATTATTATTCTAGATTTTAATGTTAATAAATAATAATAACTCCTATTGTGTTTATTAATAAAAAAAAAAAAAATGTTCTTCTTTAGATATTAATGACTGTGGTTCTAATCCTTGTAAAAATGGAGGAACATGTCTGGATCGTATCAATAATTTCCAATGTCTGTGCCGAGAAGGTTGGGAAGGTTCTGTCTGCGACATAAGTAATTAAGAGTTTTCTTACAGAATTTCACTTAAAAGTATTTTTAAAAAATATATAATTTTATTATATATATTAAAATTGAATACTAAATTTTTTATATGTAGATAAAAATGAATGTAATCCTAATCCTTGTCGCAATAATGGTACTTGCTTGGATGCAGTTGCAGATTTCATTTGCAAATGTAGACATGGTTGGAAAGGAAAGACTTGCAATTTAAGTAAGAATTTTTCTAAATACTGTAACTATGTTTGCTATAAATAATAATAAGTTTTATATATGAAATTAAATATAATCTTAATCTGAAGTTTTGTTCTAAATAAAATAGAACTATTTATCTAATGCTTTAAGAGTGATAAGCTTACTTATTAAATAAAACTTTACAAAACTTGATAAAAAAAACATCAATAAAATACACAGTTGGTATATGGCATAATTGTTATATATAAAAAGTTCAATATAGATGTAGAGTTGTTATTCATGCATTTGCAACATGTAAACAATCTAATTTGTTAATAAAATATGACAGAGTATATATAATATTAAATAATAATAACAAGACTAATTTAATACAGCTTAATTAGCAAAATTTGTCATAAAAAAGTTTCTTTTCACTTCATTGAATTTTATGATTTCCTGTTTTGATAACCATATTTGATCACAAACTTTTTATTAAATTGTTGAATTAATTTTCGATAAAAAAGAAAAATTACTTTTTTATTTTATTTTTAAAGTTTATATTATCATTTAATAAAATGATTAGGATTAACTAAGGATATTCAGAACTTTTAAGTTCAGAGTTTCATTTGTTTTTTTTTTTTTTTTTGTAATGTTAAAGCTTGTGCATTCAAAGAACTGTCAGAACTTTTGACAAGTTGCTCGAGGCCAATAAACCCCCTCATGTGTACCTAGAAATAGTAAAAGTGTAATGCATTACAAAGCCTAACTTAAATTTAATTCATTGATTTATTTTTAAAGTATATTTTTATAAAATTGTCAAATTTTTTAACATTGACAAGATTATTATGTATTTTTCAAATTAATTCTTACATTTCTGTTACCTGAAAAGATAACAAAATTATAAAATTGTTTTATTTAAGTGCATAATTTAACTTGTTAATAAAATTCACAGAATATTTGGATAGTGCTTAAACATTATATCTAATTTTAAGTTCATTTTCTTTCATATTGTTGAATCTGTTATAAATTTTAAGTCCTATAATTAAACAAAAAAAGTAGATAATTATTTCTCCCATTTATTTTTTGGAGAATTTTAAAGAGAATGAATATCTGTATAATTAATTTTGTCTGTCATATATTGAATTTTGCTTAAAAACGTAATTGATTGATTAATACTTCAAAACGTAATTGATTGATTAATTTAAACAAATATTTTAATGAAGTAATCAAAATTGTTTTGCACCAGTTGGAGTTAATCATTAAAAAATATACAGATGACAATATCATGCAAGTTCCATACAAATTATCAACCTTGACCTGACTAAAAAATATGTTTATACATTGTGCAAAACTAAATTAAATCAAATGTGATAGTGTAATGTAAAAAACTATCTAAAAAATTAATAGTTAAGTTTCAAATTAGAATTTTACAGAAATTCTAATTATAATAATAAATTTTGATCAAATTTTTTGGAATATCAATAATTTTCATTAAAAATAATTAGTAAAATTTTATAATATTTTATTTTAAATGAGTGTTGATTGTAGTTGTTAAATGAAATAAATATTATTAAGAAAAATAGGAGTCAACTGATTGATAAAAACTTGAATAATTGAGTGGCACCACATTAAAAACTTAACACGTCTGTTAATAAAAATTTCATAGATAATTAAGTCAAATTTGAACTGTGTAAAAAGATAACCTAATTATAAATATATTTGTCATAAATAATCACTTATGATAACCTAATTAAACAACTATTTTTTAATAATTCAAATTATCATATTCATGTTATTGTTTTCATATAATTAAGTCTGTACTTATTAAAAATAACTTTATAAGTTTTTTCTTTCTTCAATTATCTAGTCATTACATTCACATGATTATATTTATAACATGTAGCATTTATTATGCTTATTATGCATTTATTATGCATTTATTATTATTGCTTTCTTTGCTTGTAATATGATTAACCTATATAGATCTAATTAGTTTAATGAAGGGTTTGTCTCAGCCTTCTCAGCATCACTTGTGAGTAACGCAGGAAAAAATTCATGATAATCATAAGTAGCTTCTCCTGCACATCAAACAAGTATTGCAACAAAGACTGTTTTGCTATTGATGTGTTAATATGTATTAGTGAAAAATTTCAAACCATCCTTTCTTTTATTTCATCATTATATGTTTTTATTGCCATATTTTAATTGATGAATTAATTTTAAAATTTCACATGTGCCATATTGAAACTGTAATTTAAATTACATTACTTTATAGGAAATAGTCATTGTGATATTAGTACCTGTCAAAATGGAGGAACTTGTATTGATCTAGGGCATTCATTTGCCTGCCGCTGTACAATGGGTTGGGAAGGTCATACTTGCCATATCTGTAAGTTCCAAATACATTCTCTGTTTGATGTGGCCTCAAAATTACTGAATGTTATATATATTTGTTTTTTTTTTCTTTTCTTTAGCTCAGAATCCAAGTTGTCATTCCAATCCATGTCAAAATGGAGCAACTTGCATAAATATTGGCAATGATTTTTCTTGTATGTGTAAAGAGGGTTTTGAAGGTTCTTTATGNGTTTCCGAAATGTTGTTTACAGGTAGTGTGAGAAAGTAATCCAAAGGCAATCAGCCGTGTTAAAAGATGTCTATGACACAAGCAAAAACCAGTTTGTGTATTTTGAAACAAAATCTCTTATATTAATTTTTCCAATGTTGCATCATACGAGGTGCGGTTACTTTAATAAGATAGCCAAAGAAAAACGTCAGCTTTTTTATTTTTCTTTTTTTCCCCGTATAAAGAAACTATGAAACTAAAGACTGCGAATGTATAAGCGCTTCTTGTCACTGGCGCGCGTTTTTGCTTTGAAATGCTGAAGGTTCTGGGTTCGAGAACCGGATATCGCGTTTTTGTATTGTTTTCGCTGGTTTAATTAAACAGAAATATTTTTATTTAAATGAAATGTTAAGGTAAAAACTATGGAAAAAATTTCGCCGCGAGACTGTATAATTTATTGTAAATGCGTACATGTCCGGTGTTAAAGTTCACAAGTACTTCTTATCATAAAAAACATGTTAAAAGTTGGAGTTTTCGCATAGAGTATTGTTTGCGCATACCTGTTTGCCTGGGAACAAGTCCACATCAGGTGCAGTCACAATTTTTCTTTTTCTTTGTTTTTTTTCTTTTGGAATTTTCGGATAAATCATTCATTTACCGAATACCGGTTTGTGAATCCAGGTGTGATGTTAACGAAAAGAGAAATGGTCTTTTTGTACCTTTTTAAAATTGTTTCCTGGGGCGTTTTGCGGTAATGAGGTGAGGTCTAACAAGGACCCTCATCCGAGTAACACGGTGGGGTGCTCCGAATAAGAACAGTTCTCTAATTACCTTCTTTTTGTTGCATTAAGTAAACTGATATAGTAATGATGCTTCTATTATAAAACACCATTTGACATTTTTTTTTCATAAAGTCGTGTTACTGTCCACCAGCGTTTCCTGTTTAGATACATTTTAATCATTTTCACCTTTAGAAATTTTTTCCATTTGTCAAACATTTTCTTAGGTAAGGAGAATTACTGAATTTACTGTTGGTAATTAATAAAAAAGCTTTCCTAATGTTAAGATCTGTTTTTGAAAATAAATCATCAGATTTTTCTAAATAGCAGTAAATAACTTCATATCAGATAAGTTGAAAAGATAGATTGCAATATATCTTCTTAATTAATCTCATTCAATGTAGAGATTTTTAAATCAGATAAACTGCTGCAATGCTTCACATTAGAAACTGGACAGATTGGTTCCTATTATATCTACACATTTTAAAATTAGAAAGAATGTAATATTATCTACACATTACATTTGCCTACTCTTTTATGTAAATAATGTGTAATTTTATCTTTTATGCATTTAATAATGATTAAGTATAGAATAATATAACATTATCTAGAATTTTACAATTTTACTTGAATTTTATTTAGATGTAGACCTGGTTGGAAATCAGAATTATGTGACCAATGTATGCCATATCCAGGTTGTAAACATGGCTATTGTAATGGTTCACCATGGCAGTGTATATGTGATATTAATTGGGGAGGAATCCTATGTGACCAAGGTTAATTTTTTTTCTTCCCTCTTTTTCATTTATATTTTTTTAGTTTGCAATAATTTTTAAAGTCTAATGGTTTTTGTTAGATTTAAATTATTGTGGAACTCGTGAGTTGTGCCAAAATGGTGGCACATGTGAAAATAATGCACCAGATGAATACATGTGTCGCTGTCCAGAAGGATTTTCTGGAGTTAATTGTGAAATAGGTAAGATATTTTAGTGCAATAAGTAAAACATAAATATGCATGAAATATAAAAAATAATAATTATATAATATTTTAGTTGACAATCCATGTGCTACTTCTCCATGCTGGAATGGTGGAATGTGTTCTGAAATAAATGGAACATTCAGTTGTACTTGTGCACCTGGTTGGATGGGTCCTATGTGTAAACAAAGTAAGTTTTTTATTAACTTGTTTTTAAATGTCATATTTACACTTAACTGTAATTATATTATATTTTTATTACATTAACTAAACTTCTATTGAAAAATATTAGTAAATATTATAATTATTAAATGGAATATAACCATATAAATATTTCTACAATAAAAGCACATGAAAATTATGATGTATTGGAACGATTTCAATCATTAAATGAAAGCATTTCAGAGATAAAAAAAATCCTAAAACTTTCTAATCAATACAATCTTGGAATGCATTTTTTACTGCTGACTAAACTAGATTGCAGGCCCAAGGGCTCAGGGAAGAACATTCTAAGTATTCTCATTGTATATAACTAATATACAGTTAGGGCATCTAGCTTTTATAGTCTGTTAAAAATGAATAAAATATGTTTATTATATAATATAAAATGAATTTTATATTATTATAAATAATACTTGTGTGAGATAATTGATTTTTTTAACAATAAAATTAATTAGTATGTTTTATAAAATAAAACAATGCTATATTGTAAAATGCCGTGTTAAAAGATGTCTATGACACAAGCAAAAACCAGTTTGTGTATTTTGAAACAAAATCTCTTATATTAATTTTTCCAATGTTGCATCATACGAGGTGCGGNCAGAAATTCATATTAAAATTTCAACAAGTTGACAGATAGATGGGCTACATTTAGTTTGGCACCGGATTTGTCTGCCAATTCATGTTTACAACCATATGAAATTGGTTTCTTACTTAAAAGATAGACAAGTCTAGTTACACGATGATGATTTATTTGTAGATGATAAGCATTTTCTATCTTGGAGTCTCAGCTTGTTGAACTTCCTCCTCCTTTTTTATTTTAAACTTCTCTCATGTGTCAGACTATCTGAGGGGTCTCTACAGCACAACATCCCTCCAGGACTTGAATCTGGGTTGGGCTTTCAATCAGCTTCCTTATCTTTCTGGAATTGTAATGGATTTAGTTCTAAAAGCTCGGTGATTACGAGTTACATGTATAACTGTCCAGACCTGTAATGTATGGATTTAGTGGCAACCTGATTGGTTTCATCTGAGGTGGTTATTCTTAGTAGGTTATTGCTAGCAAATTGAAACTTTCATATAATATTGGTGGATAAACTTACGGACCCAGGAAGGCCTAGTGGTGGTATTCTTTTCTTTAATGAATCTAAAGCTTATTTTGAGCTATTGGATTTTACCCAGATATACTTGTGGTTAGTCTAACTCATTCAAACATTTTTGCTTCTCAATCCACCTTAATACTGATTATGCTGGAACTAAAAAACAGCAAAACATTCATCTTGATTCGTTCCGATATCTTGGAAACCTGGTCACCAATGTTTGACGAAGTTGTCATTATGGGTGATTTTAATGTACATGTTGGTCACAAAGTTGATACTTTTTGAATACAACTAATCACGAAATATTTACAATTCAAGGCGATCAAAGAACCTAAAAATCAATACTAATGGCATACTGTTTTTACAGTGGTTAATTGAACATAACCTTATTCTTCTCAATGGGCAAACCAGAAGAGATTATCCTGCAGAATTGACTTTTCTTTCAAGTATTGGTTGTTTAATTATTGACTTCATGATTATTTCTCAAAGCATACATCATTTAATAGAGACTTTAAAAAGTAGAATGTCTGCCATTATCAGATCATTTCTCTGTAGTTCTGAATGTCTTTTGGATGGAAAAATCAGTTTCTTTGAGACTTGCTATGTTTGGAATAAGTCTAAGGTAGGTGCACCTGCTGATGCTGTTAAGTCATGTTTTCAGAATAAGAAATTTGCTAATGAATTAGATGATTTTTATCATGTAGTAATTGTTGAATTATGTTCCTTGGCGAGAAACTTGGCATTTTAAGAGGGGGAGTTAGGGTTAATAATGCCCGTTGTTCTCTGTGGTTTGACGAATCTTGTCTCATACTTAAGAAAAAGTGGAATTGAAAATATAAATCTCTCTGTATTTTTTGAAGATAGGGTAACCATGCCAAACTCGTCTCTTTTTAAAATCTAAATAGAGAATTATAGCTCATTACCCAAAATTTCCATGTTTTAACTTTGATAAATCTTACCAGGAATTTGGTAAACATTAAAAACTCCAAGACCTTTTGACTACATATCAGCTGGTTTCATGTGACAAAATTTATGACCAATCATGTCATTTCCTTGGCTGTCTGGTATAATTTTTTTAATTAGCCTTTTGTTGTTTGTTTGCTATGTAAACAACATGATACAACTTTTGATGATTTAGACATCCAACTACTTCAGTTTGCAAGTAATACAGTATTGTCGTCAACAACACCAGTCAACTTTCACAGAAAACTGGATCTACTATCACAATATTCATCTTTGGGTTTAATTTCTATAAGCCCAGGATTATGATTTTCAGACAGGGAAGATGGCTAACAAAAATTTATAAGTTTTTCATAAATAATAGATATTAGCATTTTAAACAAAGTGGTTTACCTGGGTATGCATTTATCAGTATCAGGTTCTTTTGTCAATTATGTTTCCTTTGTGAAGGGTAAAGCTCTACCTAAGGTAAAAGTAGTGATTGATAGCTTATGTATGATGAGAAATAGTCACCTGTCTTTAAAAAATTAGCTGCCTCTCTATTCATGTTGAGTTGGTTGTGTGGTTTACCTTTATGGAGACCTTTTTGCTCAATTACATCAAGATTGATTCAACTGAGTTTTTTTGTCACCTTTTTGGCCTTGAGAGATCGATACTAACAACAGATCTGAATTAGGTTTGTACTTTCCTTATAATTGTTTTATTAAACTTGTTCTTAAATTTTTATCAAATATTGTCTCAGACTCATCCTCTCTTGTGTTCACAGCATATTCTGTTTTAAAAGGACTGTCAATGAATAGATCGCTGAAAAATAGTTGGTATACACAATTGGATAGTCTACTGAACCGAATCAGCTTTTTCTTAGCTTTAATTGACTCATCACCAAAGACCATAAATTACTATTGTAACATAATTATATTAGAATTCAATGATTTTTTTTTGTCAGTGAGGAGAACAAAAAGATAACCAATGCTAAGTTCTACCTCTAGTATACAGAAATATTGCACAGATGTCAGGTTTTTTCTTATCAACAACAATTGCCTTTTGCAGTAAAGTAAATGATTATCCAGATATGTTTAAATAAATTTCATTAACCTTAAATTTTTTCCCAGTTAAATTTTAATTATTTGGATAGATATCCTTCTTGTACACAAGGAAATGCTACTTTGAATCATTATATATACAAGTGTAAAAAGTTTGTTCTTTTTTGTCAAACTAAAGGTTATAGTGATGTTTGTATTTCTACTGTGGGACAAGAATACACAGACTGTTTTCTAACACAACTTCTGTTGAAACAATTTGGAAAAAATATAATTTAATTGTAAATGCCATTAACTATATTAACCCTTATTCCTAGAGGAGTATATAAAATAAAACTATACACCATATACAATATTATATAAATTATTATGTATGGAGAAATGAACTTTCACAATCGGCTCAATCATAAATTAATAATTTTAATTGTACTATTCTAAATGTATTGTATTTTATCATAATAATAGGATTTACATCAAAATAAACTCTTATTTTTATTAAATTTTACCTCAGCCATTTGTTGCTTTCTCTGAACTTTAGTCTTTTCAGTGTAGGCATTGTGATCAGTTTCAATAATAATTAAATAACCAGTTTCTGGTTGAATCACAAATCTTCGAGGAGTATATTCCAAGGGGGTTGAAACTTGATTAAAGACAGCTCCCAATTTTTCCAAAGCCAAAATTCTATATAAAAGTTATATTTTTAAAACAACATTAAATATTTTTTAAAAGTCTATAATTTAAAATAATTATGAGATATAATAATATAAATCTGAAATACTAATAAAAGATTACTTGAAAAAGTTGCTTTATTGTTCTGTATTTTCAAATTATAGTGCAAATCTATTACAATTTGAAACTGAACTGATGTACACAGTGTGGCTATAAAGTTCTAAGAATGCTTCTAAAATATACAAAAAGTTTTCATAATTTATTCTTCAAGACATATTCCTCCCAGCTCCACACAACACTTTGCATGGTCCTACAGCCTGTTCAGGGATCCTGGAAGTCTGCTCTTCAATTCCAATTCGGGAAAGAGGAAGTAGTCAGCTGGGGTGAAATCAAAATAATATCGAGTGGTGCAACATTGACATTTCTGGAGGCTAGAAAATGACACACAACTGCTATGTTGTAAGATTATTATGTGCATTACTGTGCAGCAGTTTCATTCTCCATGTTTAACTGCTCTGCAAGCATCTGAATGGTACATTGGTCAGAAGCCAACAACTGTCAAACTCATTTAATGTTTTCCCTGTTTCTACTTGATGCTGAATGACTGCTCCTTGGGTCATCTTTGATTTCCTCTGTCCCACTAAGAAATTGCACATGCCAAAGAAAAATGTTGGAAGGAGTCAAAGAAGCCACCCCAAATAATTTCTGGATCATATCAAATTATTCTGCTAGTATTCTGCTCAAATAAACACAGAATTTGATTGTATACCATTGTTCTTTTGACATCATCCTAACATGTCACACAAAACACATCCATGGAGAGCTGCACTAAACCAATACTGATAAAAGCTAGTTTAGGTGTTAAGAAAGGCCAGTTAGATAAAGTTCAATTGATAATTCATAATGGGGTTGCTTTGTTGATGCTACAGAAAATCAGTCCTAAAACTTTATAGCCACATTCTTTAAAAAATACTGTATTTGAATCCTAGAAGTATCTTAAAAAAGAAGCAATTATAAATATTAAATATTTTAAATATGTAGAAAATTAATCTAAATTTAAAGTAATATATTAGCCGTAATATATTTATATAATATAAAAAATATATTTAAAGTAATATATTAGCCATAATTAACAGAGTGATATTACTGTAATTACCTTAAAAATCAATTGTCCAAAACAGGATTAGAAACTCAGTTATCCAAAATGGTTTGCAAATAAATAAATAAAAACAATGTGTAGTGTTATACATACCAAGAGTATAATACACAGAGACTCAATTCTCCACATAACTGGAAATCACTATGTCATCTGTTGATTGTAGCACCGTGAAACTAGGCCATAAACATAAAATTATGTTAGAATTTCAGTAAATTCAAATACAGTAATTGCATTACAGTATTTACAGTTCATGAAACTTAAAATTCATTTTGCTTGATGTACAAAAAATAAGAACAAATGAGTTTCTGAATTATCTGAGATTATATATCTGAAAAACCTTAGTCCCATTAAGTTTGGATAATTGAGTTTCCATTGTATTTCCTAAATTAAGAAGTTTCTTTTTATTTTTACCTCAGTGTGTTAGAGGAAATAGCAACAATCCCTTCAGGACATTGTTCTGATGAAAATCCAGATGCATACTCTAATGTCTCATAAGATAATGGAGTTAAGTGAAATCTGTTTTGATAATAGTAGCTCAGCCATGATCTACTAGACATTGCTAATACTGAATCACTTCCCTGCATCCGGACTTTAAACAGCTTTACCGGTCTTGATCCTAGATAACGGGTTCTAGTATCAGATAAATCACCTGTTATTTGATCCAATACAGTTCTTAATAATACTCCATTCTATAAAAGACAAACAAATCAGCTTATATATTAGAAAAAGTCATCATCAAAACTTAAATTAAAATTATTTCATATTAATCAGATTTTCAATTTAATCAACAATGCTCATATGGCACGGACAAATGTCATCATTTTCTAATTCTTAACACAAATATTAAATATGTAATAAAAACGTCCACAATATTTTAATTTAAAAATTCTCATACTTGTAATCCAATATTGAGATATAATATTCCTTGACCACTTGTATCTCTGGTGCCACCTTCAGAACCGCCCATTTCAACAATAGCCAATGATTCAGGAGTTGCAGGTAATGCCTGCATACTAAGTGGAGAAAGACAATCCTGTTAGGAAAAAATTAATAAATGAAACACATTATTATTATTATTATTATTATTAATAAATGAAAATGGAAAAGATACCAGAATTTTGGAAATACAATAAAAATATATTTTAAATTATTATTATTTATATATTAAAATATAGATTATTTAAATTTCAGATAAGGATGATTGTAGTCCAAATCCTTGTTACAATGGTGGAAAATGCATTGATGGCATAAATTGGTTTATGTGTGAATGTGCTCAAGGATTTACAGGCCCTGATTGTAGAATAAACATTAATGAATGTGCTAATTCACCTTGTGCACAAGGCAGTACGTGTGTCGATGGAATTGGCGATTTCACTTGTATATGTCCAGTAGGACGTTCTGGTAGACTCTGTAATTCTTGTAAGTTTTTGTAAAAAAATATTATATTTGATAGAATTTAAATATTATGAAGCTAATTATAAATATTATAAATTTATAGTGATTACTGAAGCAATACATATGTCATGTGAATTTCAAGGAATCTCTTATTCAGAAGGTAGTTTTTGGGAACATGATTGCAATTCTTGTCAATGCCAGAATGGTAAAGTGTTTTGTACTCAGGTAATATAAATTATTTAATAATTCTTAAATATAATTATTTTCGTAAAAATGAAATTTGAGTAATAATAATAATAATTTATCAAATTCTGAATGACAGGTATGGTGTGGAATCCCAAACTGTTTGCATCATATAAATACAACTGAAGAGATCATCAATTGTGATAAAGGCCAAATGTGTATTCCAACAATAAAAAATGCCTGTTTTACACCACCGTGTCCACCTCGTGGTGAATGCAGATGGAAAGAAAACAATACACATACCACTGTACTTCCAATAACTGGTTGCATGCCTGGTATTGCTAATCCAAGCAATAATTGTGCCAAAATTACATTACTGTTTGAAAAACCAAAAATGCCACAGGTAAATATTGTAAATATTCATTTTATGATTTTAAATAGTATCATATTGATATAATTGAGTATAAATTGAAATTTTATAGGGAATTACTGTTGAAGATCTATGTAAACAATTAAGAAAATTATCTGTACATAAGACCATCTTATTATCATATTCCATTTTAATTCTGTGTGCTGTTCGTGAAGATGATGGTGATGTTATTGAAGTTGCTGTTGTAAGTTTGTCTTTTCATCATTTTCATCCATTAAGTTTAAAGTTTATATTAAAAAATATTTTGTTTTTATGTTCTAGTCTACACCAATGGATCCTTCATTAGAAACATATGCAGTAGTGAGTGGTGTTGCTAAAAACATGGCTGACATCATAAGTCGAAAAATGTCAAATAGCTCTGCTCTTTCAGGAGTTATTGAAGTTAAAGTTGAAACTTCTATGGTCAGTCCAGAAAGTAAAGGTAATATTATTTTTTATTATAAAAATTTATTAATTTTGTTATCTTAGTGAAAGAACTTAATTGTAAATCAAATGAATTACATGAATAACTAATTTTTATTTCTAGGACAAAATTATTTGATATCTGTGTTGGTTTCCTTCATTGCATTAATGTTGTTTATTGTCACCCTTGGAATTGGAATATGGTATTATATGCATCATTGCCGTCAAAAGAAACCACTTTCTTCGGGACACTCGATGCCTTGTTCAATCAGTAGCAAATTGGATCAGTTAGATGCCGAAGGAAAATCAAACAACCAAAACAAAGAAAATATTCGACGGTATAGAAATTCCTTGCATACCAATGATAAACTATGTTCTGTGGCAACTAATGATTCTACAGAACTAACTGAAATTGATTATGACACAGATAGAGCTAACATTCCCAGTGGAATATACAAAGCTCAATCTTTAGAAGCAAAGAAAAACACTGCACCGAACAATACAAACAAAAAAGACTTTGAAAAAGATAACAACTTAAAAGCTCACCAAAGGCAGCTTTCAGATAAAGAAGTGATAGTATAGTAAACCACATCCATGTTTTAAAAAAATATCTTATTTATTTTCAATGATTTGCACTCTCTTTCTTTGCTAACTCTCCTGTCACAGATCTCATTTGTTTTGTTTCTACAAGTGCAGTATAAAGTGTGTGCAGAGTTTTCTATTTGCAACAAAAATGCAATATAAAAAGGACATTTATCCACAAATTTGAAGATCAACACAAAGGTTAGTGTTGTATCGAGGCACAATGAATCATTCCAAGCACATTAATCATTCATTATTTTGCATTTTATCCTATATTTTAAAAGTCATAATAATTAAAATCGTCACCATCATACCAAAGTATGCTTTATGATGAACTTGTAAATAAAGAGTTGTCATGGTACAGTTTTTTCCAGTGCAACAACTGAAGATGTACCAAGTTAATTGGGCAATGAACTTAAAAAGAATGCTTTTTTTTTTTTTTTTTTTTGTTTTTGTAAATATGTATATATGTTCATTATGTTTCATGTATATTTGATCATTAATTTATGAAAACAAAATGCAAATCAACAATATTTATATTTTTTGTCATGAAAAGTTTGTGAAGATCAATTCTGTTGCATCTATTTTCATGTGTGTGAATGCATGGGTATGCATGAATGTGTAAATGAATCTTTGTCAAAATAGCCATTTTTCCTAGGCTAAAGGTTGTGAGTTTTAAGTCATTTTTTTTAAATTCCATACAATTTTCATGTCTAAGAAAATATAGCAGAAGCTTAAATTATTAAATTTTGTAAACATTAATTTGCATTTGATAAAGATGTAATTTTGGGAAATATTTGTTAAATGAAATATTTTGGGATGCATTAATTTAATTTAACTTTAAAATTTAATACAAGAAAGTTTTGATTTCTAAATATTTGACTATATATTTTGAATATGAATTTGTTTGTTTTTAATTTTGAAATCAAAAAAAAAAAAAAAAAGAATGAATTCAAGTGCAAAAATTATCAATATTTACATATGGAGAGATTTTTCTCTATAAAATGATTTGACTATGCTTTTTTTTGTAATGACTGAGAAAATGTTTTACTAAGTCTCAAAGCTGGCTACAAAGTCAAATTTTCTAATTAGGAAATTTTGGCTTTGTAAAATTGTTAGAACAGTATATGCTTTTTGTGTAGTTATTTTTCAATTTGTGACTTTGCCAGAAATAAAGTCCTTTAATATGAGTTTCTGCAAGTTATTTCACATTTAAGTCATCAATATAAAACAAATTAAATTAAAATTAGTTCAGTTTAAACTATATAAAATACAAAGAATCATTTAAGCAAGTAAATTAAATGAAAAAGTGAACATAACATATTTATATAAATACATTCCTGTTAGTAAATTAACAATTAATACAGCATTAAAAATAATTATATCTGAACAAAACAGAACTTGCAATTGTCTAGAAAGTTAAAGAATTTTATTATTATCTTACACTAGTGATGATAAAAAATTTAAGAAACTAATGTTAAAAGATTTTGAAACTAAATTTATGCAATCCTCATAAATACAAGCAATAAGTTTTGGTGTAATATATAGATATCAATAAGTGTACAGGATAATATTTATCCTGTATAGTTATTGATTTTTACAGAATTACATTCAGTCAAAATATGCGACATTTATTTTTAGTAATTATTTTGAGATCTTTCGACATATATAAGGTTCTACAAACTTTAATCCATAATTTTATAGTAGCAGCATATAATAATCTACCAAGTTTAATAGTAATTGAAACAATTTTTAAATTAATGAAAAATAATAATATTATTTTTCAAATGATCAATAAAACTAATCAATTTTTTAAGCATAAGTTTCTCAAACTAAAATGGAGATAACTTTCAACTTATCTGTGATTTGCAATTTGAGTTTTGGTATAAGTAATTAACATTCTTTAAGAATAATGTACAGTTAAAAAACGATTATTTATATAAACACTTTTTTATATTAATGATTTTAAAAATGTTGAGAGAAAAATATATGATTTGATTAGTTGTTTCAAATGTTTGCTAAGAAAAATTGTTTTTTGTGTAAATTTTCATATTAAAAATTTTCTCTTAAATTTATGTAATGTTATAGAAATAACAAAGAGTAATGTAATATTATATACTTGTATAATAATCTAAAAAGTGGATTATATTAAATTATAGTAAAATCCATTCCCTCTCATTGGCTACTCATATTTTCATATCTGGTATTCAACAGTATTTTGCAAAATATCCTTATGAAAATTAACTTATCAAAAATGAAGAACATGATTTATATTTTAATATAAATAAAATAATCTTTTAAATTTTTTCTACATATTACAATTGCTTATATATTTAGTGCTTATTACTATATCAAAATAAAATAGTGTTCAAAAATACTTTTGTATTAGAAATTAGTTTAAGATTTGATATATTTTAATTANACTTTTTACACATTTCAGCAGGTCTCTTTTTATTGTTTTTTAATCGGAGTAAACAGTTTGAAATAAAATAGTTTAGAAAAATTTTCCAATTAAAAATCCATCCATATTAAGACAATAAATTTAAAACAATCAAATTGTTTTTAACCCAAATGTCATTAATGATAAACAGTGCTGTTTAAGCAATAAACTATGATGAAACTATGTAAATTATGCATCATCAACAAATTTATACTTCATCTACACTAAATCATTTAAAACGCATTTAATTTGAGTTGACCTATTACAAAAACTTTCCAGAAAACAACTACACAAAGGATACATCACATAAAATGTTTTTAATAAATTGTTTTTTTTAATTTTTTAAATTACATTTAAAGTGTTTTTGATTACAATTGAACTGAAGATACCTTAAATGCAACTAAAGAGAAAAGTGCTTTTAATGAACTTCATATTTTATGTAATACATCTTTGATACATGTTAGAAAAATAAAAATAAGAAATCGTAAGTTTCAATTTTAAGAATCAGTTTTCAGAGGCATATTCAGGAAGAAGTGACGTATGCCTTTTACTTAACCAATAAATTTAAAATAAATACATTTGAATAAAATATAATAAATTTTATTTATGTATTTATTCATATGTAAAGATAAACATACTAAAACACTAAAAACCAACTACAAAAAAGAGTAGAAATTTTTTCTTTTAATACATTTATCTTTACTATGTACAGTACATCTTGTATACTTTTGATGATTGACTTCATTATATAACTATTAGAAAATCATATGAAAGAATTATTGACTTATTTATCTTTATTTATATGTAAGTCTCATTAGATTTATCTACAAAAGAAATTTTATACACAACCATAGTCTTGATTCCGCCTTTACAATGATACCCATTGTAAAGGTGGAATCAAGACTAGACAAATTGCCATTAAAGTACTCTATGTATGTACTCTCTTTTATTCAAAAACTTATGTTGAGTTGGAAAGTTCAAAAATGTTTTTAAGCAGTAAATTACTAATTTATATATTTTAGTTTATTCAGTTTTTGAATGTATTTTTATTATATTCAATTGATATGATTACAGATCGTTTTTATAATTACAATAATATATCCTAGCCTTCATGGAATTGAAGAGATAAATTAATTAATAAAAGTTCTAAAAATCTAATTTCAATAGACTTAAATGTTCATAACATTATTATATAAATTCTTCATATAAAATGATTTAGTGAATGAAAGTTGAATGAGATTTATATTGCTTATTCTTTTTTTTAATTTATATTTGATCCAAAATAAACCTATATTATCATTGAAACATTTTAATTATCAAAGAGATGTACTAATGAGTAAACCTACATCTGCAATATAAACGTATACTTTTGGATTAATGATATATAATTATTTTTACTGAATTTTTTTAAAGTAATTATATTAAAAACAATGTTTAAATGCTGTCATGCATTAAATTGTTGTAACTTATTAAGTAGCTTAAATCATTTTTAAATACACAGAATGTATCATCTGTTAAGTATGTTGGATATATCAGCAATTAATCATAATGTATTATATTTATGTGTTATCTAATTGTTATCTTAACTACTAAGGTTTTATTACAAGCAAGCAGTTAAAATTCTCCATAGAATTTTAAAACAATCTACAATGCTGTTCTTACATTTATATATCTAAGATTAAATGTTTGGATTATTTTTTAACAGAAAATTTTATTATTTTTCTCAAGCAATGAATTTTGCTGATAACTACTCAGAAAAATTCATTGAAAATTTAAAATTGAAATATTTTATATGAATTTTTTTTTCTTTTTGTGTATTTTGAAATTCTATTTTATAATTTTTATTTGTAGAAGTTATAGAAAATTTTTATAGAAATATTTTTTATTTATAGAAAAATTTTAATGGAGGAAGAGAAACAAAATATGTCAAATTAGTTCTTGTTTTTAAAAATGTTCAATGTTTTTTGGAAAAAAAAAATCTATTTTGATATAGACTTTTACATTTATTTAAATTTTAGCATTTAAATAATTTTTTATCGATTAAATAATTTTGTTTTTATATAATAAGAATACAAAGTTTCAAGAACAATAAAGATTCAATCAACAATCTAATGCCGATTAAAACTTTATTGTTCTCGAAACTTTGAATACTCAAGAAAAACAGCACAGGATTGGATTTTAATTTTTCAGTTTCCTTCTCAGCAGCAAAAATATATGATTTGAGTCCATCAAATGCTTAGTAAACAGAATATATTAACATAGCTGAAAAAATTTTATTCAAAATGAATTTTACATTAAAAGTTCTGCTATGACGAAAGCTTTTATGATAATATAAATCCATTTAAAATTTTATTTTCTAATTTTTTTTAACATTACAGAGAAAATATGTAAAAACTGTTTAATGGCATATTTTAAAAGACATTCAGTTAGGTTGAAACTGCAAGCTAACCATAAGCTAATTGCAACTAATTTGCAATTTTTTTTTAAATCCAAAAAACATTTGTTGATTTTGCAATACAATCGTGTATATATTTAAACAGAAAGCTAATAAAATACTGACAAACAATAGAATGTCCAAGGACAATTTGAAACCAATTTATAGGTGGAGTTACCTCAAGAAACATGAAATATGATAAAACCAGCAAACCAAGGCCAGATCTTTACAGAATTATAAATAATATTTAATTTCTAATAAAAGCTCTTAATGTACTTAATATAATTAAAATTAGTCTACATTTTAATGTTGAACATATTTAAAAAAAATAATAATAAAAGCTTTTTCAGAGTTATGTTTTAAAGCAAGGTATATTTTAATATGTAGAATGTAAGGAATTATTATTCATTCAAATCTAGTCTGATCTTGACATGATTTACAACACATTTATTATTCATACTCAACCAAATGCAGGAACAAGCAATTTCTATTTAAATGCTTGTTCTTGCACCATTATAAATTTAAGTAATTATTTCTTTAAATGGTATAAAAGTTGGCATTGTTTGAATTTTTCTCATGATTCAGAACAAAATTTCTGAAAAGCAGTCTAATTTTCATAAGATAACATTTAATATTTTACAAGATGATGATGATAAAATATATTTACAGGAAAAATAATCTTTAATAACAAATTTAGTTCTATAGTAAGAATTCCAAGAATATGTAAGTGAATATATCATACCACTAATATATCACATCTCTCTCTCACAGGAGCAGATCTATGGGATGACTACAGGGGTTTAAGTCCTTACACTAAAAAAGAAAACAAAGAAAATTAAAATCAATTTATTCAAGCTTCAAAATGTTGTTTTTAAAAATATTTATGATAGCAAATATGGTTTATTGGATCATTCCAATATAATCATCTTGCACATGTTATTACATGGTACCATCTTATAATCACTCAAATATTTTTAATTATTGAGTTAGACCCCATTTGAGTTTTTCTGGATCCACCACTGCCTTTGTTCTAAAATAACTGTAGTAAAATAAACTTATACAGTAGTGTCTCAAATAACGTACTTAATCCGTTCCAGGTGAACGTCTGTTAAGTGAAAAGTCTGTTATACAAAACACATTTTCCCACAGAAATACATGTTAAAACATATAATTCGTTCCGCAGCATAAAATAACCGTACTGTACCATAAAAAAATGAAAATGGAGCAGTCACCAATTATGCCGGGTAGTCAGATGTTGTGAGGAGGAGGTGGAGGAACACTTTCTTTACACATTCATACAGATACAGACTTTTTACACATTTCAGCAGGTCTCTTTTTATTGTTTTTTAATCGGAGTCAGATTCAGGAGAGGCTACCGGAGCTTGCAGGGTCAACTCCTCTTGTTCCATCCTTTGTTTTTTGGCAGCTGGCTTCTTGAAAAACATGTCCAAGGTGGTCTGTTTCTCTCTCTTCTTCAACACCTGTCGGAAATGACGGGCAAGGGTGTCATTGTAGAGATCATTGATCCTGTTGGCCTCAGCTCTGTTTGGATAATGAGTGTTGGTAAACTCCTGAACCTCTCCCCATTTGACAAGGAAGTTTTTGTCAACTTTCACTCCTTCTGATGATTTCTTGCTTTGTTTCAATTGAAATCACCTTTCTGTTTTTTTAGAAGCCATGATTTGCACAACACTTGAATAAATGTAAATACCCTGCACTGAGGTGATGTATGTAATAAACAAGGGAGCAAGCCGAATCCCAACGGAAGCTCTGTACTTCAGATATACTAATAATATATTTTAATTATACTAATATATTATAAAAATAGCAGATTGTCATTGGCAATGGCAAAAGAGTGGAAACATCATTCGCACTTGTTCACAGAAAGACTGTTGTTCACCTCACATAACTGCCGAATGGAAAGTCCATTGTTCGCAACCAGTCCATTGCTCGAGTCACGTAACGGCCAAACAGAAAGTCCGTTGTTCGCAGCATCCGTTATTCGAGGCGTACGTTATACGAGGCACCACTGT